GTTGGCAGAATTCAGGATGGACTGTTTTCTTGCTAGCTGGCAGCAGGACTCACTCTCAGTTCCTAGAAGCCACTCCCAAGTTCTTGCCAGTGGCCCCTCCAGTTCCAAGGGCAGCAGGAGAATTCCCCTCCTGTGCAGTCCCTCTCAAACTTTGAATCTCTGACCTCTAGACCCAGATTTAAAAGGCTCATATGATTAGGTCAGGCCTAAACCAATACCCTCCCTTCACTAAAGTCACTTGTGTCACATAATATAACCTAAGTCATGGGATTGAAATCCATCATATTCACAGCCTGGATGATTATGAAAAGCATGTATACCAAAGATTGGGAGGAAAGGGGAGGGAGCGGACACCTTAGAATTCTACCTTCCACAATAGTGATGTTAGCCTGATTACTTGGTTAAGTTGGTGTCTTCTGTTTTCTCCAACTGAACATTACTGTTTTTCCATTTCCATTTCCATTAAAAGATACCTTGGGGAGATAATTTGAACTAGGCAAATATTTTATTTCTCCTCATACTTTCCTAGATTGATTTTAACACTCATCAGTAGAACTGTCCATCCTCCTCCTTATTTGTTTATTTGTTTATTTTTTTATTTCATTGCAAACTCATGGATATATGTTTTATTTGGGGAGTTATAATCCAACACTGTCATTATTTGTTGTTCTAGCTGTTCCAGCTTTGGCCACTGGGAGCTCTTTCAGGTTAGCTCCTATGCCCTTTCCACGTGCCCTCATCTTTTTTTCAGCACTTCTTTTCTTTTTGACACCTTAAGATACTTAGATTCATCTTGTATTTTTTTCCTGCCCCACCCCTGGAATAAATCACTTTTCCAAGAATAACTCCAGTTTTAACCCAAGAGAACTAGATATAAATTTTAGTTTGTCTCCACAGATTAGGTGCAGATTAATGAATGTATTAATTTCCACTTGCTGTTCTAACAAAGTACCACAAATTTAGTGACTTAAAACAACACAGATTTATTATCTTACAGCCCTACAGGTCAGAAATCTGAAATGGGTTTTACTGGGCTAAAATTAAAGTATCAGCAGGACTGCGTTCTTTCTGGAGGCTCTGGGGGATAATCTGTTTCCTTGCCTTTTCCAGTTTCTAGAAGCTGCCTGCGTTCCTTGATTCACGGTCCCTTTCTGCATCTGTGATGCCAACAGCAGACTGTCTTCCCATCTCTTCCGACTATTGTCCTCTCGTCTTGCTCTTAGTAGGATCTTTCTGCTTAGACTGTGCCCACCCAGATAATCCAGAATAATCTCCCCATCTCGAGATCCTTAACTTAATCACATCTACAAAATCCCCTTTGCCATCTAAGGTAACATCCACAAGTTCAGGGATTTAGGACAAGGACATATTTGGTGGCCATTATTTGCCTGCCACATGAATATATTTGGACTAATGGGACCATCAGTCTATATAAATCAGGCAAAAGGAGAATATCCCTTTAATATCAGGTCCTGTTTTACTTCTTCTTAGTCCAGTAAGTCATTTTTTTTAAATTGCAATATATTTGCACATTTGTCTAAATCCTTATAAAAGTAGATGTCATTAATCCTCCACTGGTAGGACATTGATTTTGATTTGTCCTCCAGCAGCAGTGAAGAACTCCTGTTCATCCATCTGTCTCTCCTCGTCTTTTACTTGTTTGTCACCAACAGCACAGATTTTACAGGATCATAGCCAGTTATAAAAGCAATGATTATAGTTTCCCATGATGCATTATCTTGTGGTCCAAAAAACTCGGTTTATATAACCTGTATGCACATTATTGGTTGGGAATTACATTGCCAAAGCTAAATGAAAAAAATTATATGTTCTCTTCATACTCTTGCCTGTAACCGTGCATTTACTTTTTATTCATTTATTTATTGAGCAAATGCTTATTGAATATTTGACTGTGCAAGACACTGCAATAGATGTTAGTGACAACCAGTAAGATATAATAAATCATGATTCAGAATATGGGGGTATTGCTGTTAGTAGCTTAACTTCAGGGACTAATTCAAGTATCTAATGTCTTACATACTTATTTTCTGTCTGGGAGGTCGTTTCTAAAACCAAGGTTTTACCATTCTTATTACTTTCAGCTAACTTGAAATACAAGTTCTGATGTACAGTATTATGTTTAAAAAGCCATTTAATGCTTTCTGTCCTAGTACTAAACTACAGGTTGGTTGCATTCTGAATCACAGGCGTCTAGGGATGCATTTTTCATTCCTTCTTCTTAAAGGATGAAATATCAACACCTTACACTTATTAAGCACTTATTCCTGGCCCGTGCGTTACACATGTTAAGTTATTTACTCAACTGTGAGGCAGGAATTACTATCCACATCCTCATATCAACAGGAAACAGAGATGACCTAGCTGCTAAGTGTAGAGCCAGGACTTAAGTCTGGGGAACTGATTCCAGAGCTTTCTCCTCTAATACACAAATCAGTGTGTACAGTATCACATGGTGTTATCACTCAGTTAAAAAAAAAAAGTTGGATATAATGATGGCTCTTAACTGGATCATTTTCCCAACTTTGGCATACAGCTGAAAAACTATATTCTCAATAGATTGTGATGCATACAGTGAACACAAATTTTAGCAATAGCCTAAATGCTGCACAGACTTAGTAAACCAAGTCTTATTGAATGCACATAGAAAACTGGAGCCTAGGACATTTCAGACTCAAGTTCATCTTGCAGTTGTTGAAATCCTCTCTTTAACTTGATGGCATGACTCAGGGAGAATGTAGCTCCCATCACAGTTTTTCAGAATAAGGTAGAACTACACACAGCATCTGTTTTGCTATTGGTAGTTACTTTCCCGTAATTAAGGAGGCCTGCTGTCAGTTTAGGTATTTGCCCTGATGTGAATGTTTGTGTCTCCTTACAATTCCTATAGTGAAATCCTAAATGCTGAAGGTGATGGTATTAGGAGGTGGGGCCTATGGGAGCTGCTTACTTCAGGAGGATGGAACTTTCATGAACAGGATTAGTGCTCTTATGATAAAGATTCCACAGAGCTCCTTAGTCCCTTCTACCATGTGAGGAAGCAGCAAGAGATGGTAGCCTGCCCCCTGGAAGAGGACCTTCACCAGATCTCAACCATGCTGGCACCTGGTCTTGGACTTCCAGCCTCCAGAACTGCAAAAAAATAAATATCTATTGTTTATAAGCTACCCAGTCTGTGGCGTTGTGCTATAGCAGCCCAAACAGATTAAAACAGTATTATTTCTCCAGTTTCTTGGGAAAATCCTGGAGGGAAAACTGGGCAAATAATTTTGGCTGCCTCGTAATAATTCTTAGCAATATATTCTATTCACATCTAATCAGAAAGAATGCTTTTCATGTTTGCTTTATTTATACATTTGAGTACTTAACATCTTTCATTCGTAGAAACGTGTAAGTTTTTCTATTCCAGAACACCCAAATCTAAAATATCTTCATGTTGAAGTTCATAGATATTTCCCAACCTAATTTTAAAAATGTCTTGCTAAAATGTATATATATTTTATTTTAAAATATGTCTTGCTAAAATATATGTGTATATAAATACAAATATATATTTGTCTAGACAATACATATATATGTCTAGACAAATTGGAAAGGGGAAAAATTAATTCAATTTATATCCACATTTTTTCAAGTCTTTGAAATATGGATACACTCAGCAAGAAGGAACATTATTCAAGATAATTGAAGGTTTGGAATAAAATAGATGAAATGTGATTTATATGATTTATATAGTCCAACACATAATCTAAAATATATTCAAAGTAAGTTTATATTATAGTATGAAAGTAAGTTTTGTCAGCATATATATGACTACACATGACTAATTTCTACTGAATCTCTAGTCACTTGGAAGTGATTCTCATAAATAGGGTTGTCTGTCAATAGATTTATGAAAAAGAAGATGGTATCCTGAAGGACCAATTAATTGTACAGCACGAGGAAAGGGCTACTAGTCAATAAATGGATGGTTTTTCTACATTTCTGTAGTTTCCAAATTTATAGAGAGGCAGTTACTCTACATTGGACAAACAAGACAACCTCAGACTCTGCTCTGGATGATTTGGTTACTAGCTTGCCTGAGATCAAATTTCAAGACCCTTAAACTGTATTATGAACATGGTTCTCCTAAAGAAGAATCAGATACTTACTACTTAGAAGTAGGACAAAGTGCTAAAAATTACTTTTTTTTAAAGATCTTAGCTTTGGAAAATTGATGAATGGCCTTGAAAACTTTGTTCATTAATTTATTCATAAAATATTTACAGTGAGCCTACCTGCTGAACTGTACTAAGACTTATACAGATGGTCACGTACAATAAGTGGTTGAGAAACTGTCTCCGCTAGATGTAGTAAAGCACATACATGCTTTTAGTGACCAAAAAGAGACCAAATCTCAATTTCCTAATGGGCCCATAGTTCTTGCCCTGGTCCCTGGATAAGAAACCCTCCATTGTAAGTGTTCTCAATGGTATGTATGAACAATGTATACATTCATATTTGTGCCTCTAAATCTATAGATGGTAGGTTAAGTACATAGTACTTAATATCCCCATTTTACAGATGAAATATATATATAAAAAACCTAGTCAATCCTCAATTATCATGACTCAGCCCTTTTGCTTATAGCTTCCCTGTTTCTACTCCTAATTAAATAACAGAACTGGTATGAGAAAAGGACCACCTAAATGATAAAGGACTAAGATTTTTTTTAGTACTTTACTAGTGAAATTTTAAATATATCAAGAGGACAGCTTATTGCTCTGATAAAATGCTGTCAAAACAAATGATAAATTTGGGGGAAAAACCTTTTTGTTCAAATAAAAATGTGCTGATCTTTGATCCCATGATGTCATTTCAAGGAATGTGTCCTGACAGATATACCTAGAAAAGTATGCAAATGTTTATGTACAAGGGTATTTATTACTACATTATCTGTGATATTGAAAAACAAATCTAGAGAAAGCCTCAGATATCCCATTAATAGGGAAGCAGTATAACAGAGTGGTAAAGAACCCCCTGGATTCAAATCCCATCTCCACAATTTACCGTGTGATCATGGACAAATTATCTCAGTGTGCTGTTTGTTAGTTGGCCCATCTGTAGAGTGAAGCTAATAACAAAATTTACTTCACTGGATTGTGACAGTATTTAGAACAGTGCCTAGTCCATAGTGTATGCTCAATATATTTTAGTTATCATTAGTGATAGGGAATCAAGACACATTTTGGTAGAGGCGCACAATGGAAGACGAGGCAACTTTTTTAAGAGGCAGCTCTATGTACTACCTTAACCAGAAGGCAGTCTTTTGCCCATTCACTTTGTCTTTTTCCCTCCCAAAGCCCAAGAAAATACTTAACCAGAGAGGAGTCAAATTTGGTGCATATATGTTGAAAAACAAGGAGCAAATTTTGGGGGGGTGCTCTAGTGGGAAAGTATTTTGGGAGTTTGGAGGGGAGGAAAGTGAGAGGCTTTGGGACAACATGGAGTGTGAAAAGAAAAAAAACAGCCAACACTTAATGATGTATGTGTCTGGTGGGTGGATTTAGGGCAGAAATGGGACCAGGGAAAGAATTATGTAGCCTATAGGAAATTGAGATCTGGGACCTTTTTGGTTACTAAATACAGATATATGTTCTACTGCATCGAAAACTCAAGTGGAGACAACGATTTCTCAACCATTTGTTGTGTGTAATCATTCTGAGTCAGAGGGTGAGTCAACCCTGCTCTCTGGGAGGGAGGTGCTCACAAGGAAAAAGGAATGACTTCCTGGGCTGCAGGGCCGATTTAGGAAAATTCCTTGCCCAGTGTCCTAATCAGTATCTTGGTGCCTGGGAAAAATTAACTGTTATTCCTAGGGGTGAGCAGTTGACTTGCTCTACTCAACCCTGAGGATCAGGCATGATAATTCGAGTTCACATCACAGTACTCAAATTTAGAAGCACACTGGGTACTGCTGCCCAGGGGGAAAATTTTCTGCAGGCACAGTCCTTGCCTAGTAGCCTTAGCTGTAAAGCTATTGAGGATAGCAGCAGGTTGCTGTCTCAGAAGCACAGTAGTTGGTAGTTCACCTAGCAGAAAGGTCTCTGCCCCTCTTTTCCAGTGGTTTTCATTTTCCTTCTGCAAACTGCTTTTCTTGCACAGGGACTTAATGAATTAAACCACAAAACATGAAATGGAAGAACCAATTCCAATCAAGATCATAGTGGAGTAAGATGTGGACTCTCAAGACTCAAACAGGTTATTAAAAAAGATTAGGTATCTCAGTGGGGAGGGCAGAGCTCAGTGGTAGATTGCATGTTTAGGATGCATGAGGTTCTGGATTCAATGCCCATTACCTCCATTAAAATAAATAAATTAAACCTAAGTACTCCCCCCCAGCCCCCAGCTCCCCCAAACCAACCAACCAACCAAACAAAAACGATTAGGTGTCTCTTTTCTGGCAATCAATAGATTTATATAGGGAACCACACTTTCATAAAACCACTCCCTTATAAGATATTTCTCCTAATGTTCCAGTTTTGGATGAGAACCGTTCCGGTTTTACCAAAAGGGAATATATTTTGTATGCCAAGTCACAATGAAGGAAAGGTGCAGAATACATGAGATAACAAATGTGAACCTGTTGAAAATGCACCTCGTATGTGACTGGGAACGATGGGAGAGGAAAAGTATTAGTTAAGAACACTGGAGACAAAACATTGAAAGAAGTAAGGAGCACATCCCACCTCTTATGGAACAGAAGGTTTGAAGAGAGATGGACACGCACGTTTGGCTAGAAAATGAAGGGTAAACAAGGAGAGGGCAAGGTCACAGTAAAGATGTGCACAGAAGTTACTGAGGAACAGCCCCAGTTTCTCAAGGGTATGCTGCCGCTCAGTGATTCACTGCCCCTCCTTCCCCATTCCCTCCTGGTTTGCAGATACAAAACACCACAAAGGGGTGTGTGTGGTTGTTTA